CTGTTTCACACTAAAAATTTCATCTAAACACAAAGTCCACGGGGGAAAGGCATTTTTAAGACGTCCTTGGTGAGGAAATGTCTGTGGTCACTGAGCTCGAAGGAGACGGCAGAAACCATGGAATATTAGACACCAGACACCGTGTCCGAGGATCTGGGGAGGAGGGACATCGTGTCTGAGGTATCTGGGTGCTTCTGCTGCCTATGCCGGGGACACAGTCCTGCTTGGGCCCCGCGGGGGTGGGGGCAGTGGGAGGCGGCCACATCTGTCACAGTGTTTCTAGACCCCGCCAAGGGCTGACTAGTCGTGCTGGGCTCACTCGTCTGGAAGCTGCTGGGCAAGCTTTAACCTGCGGATGAGGTCGGATAATGAGTGGTGGGTCAGGTTCTTCTTGGAAACCTGGAATTAGGAAACTGAGAGGTAGAGACATTTTCCAGCAGAGGCAGACATCAGGAGGCAATGAAAAAAGTTTCTGGGCCAGCCTGGTGGTTAAGACAACTATATTCAACATGGTTGTCTGCACAGTTCGAGTCCTGGACCTGGTGACTTGTGAAACACACCAGGTACATGTGCGTGCATGTCCAAAATCTTAAGAGGAGAATAGAGGAGAGGGCATTGCGTGGTGGCCATCCCCCTTCTCTCTCTCTCTCTCCCTGGTGAGTGCACATAACCTATAGAAAAATTTTTTAAAAAGTTGCCCCTGGTGCTAGGGTAGATGCTATGGGCCAGGTGGCAGGTTGGAGTTAGGTAGGATTGGAAAGGCTCACTTGAGTCCAGAGAATGAAGCAGAAACAGAGAAGAGAAAACGCATCATGGGGAGTAGCTTCAGGGGTCTTGAAGCGAGTCCTCACCCCCCACCCCCACCCCCTGAGACTCCGCTAAGCCACACAGTTCCTGTCTAGGAGTTCCCTGAAATTCCCAGTGTGTTCTTACAACAAACCCCACTTTCCTTGAGCTAATTCAAGTGGGGCTCTTTTCCCAGAATGCAAATAGGCCTGGTTAGATCAGATCACCTAAGCCTTTGGGGAAACTCTGATGGAATCACACTAAAGAGACAAGTCCTAAGATACAAACTGACCTGCGATCTTTACACGTCTGGAAAGACATAGATTTCACACCCTGTGGAGTGGAGGGCACATTGGGGAAAACAGCCATGGAATTTCCTGAAAAAATGCCACCTGAGAGTGAAGACAAAGACACACAGGGGCGTGGCTCTCGATGTCCCTGACAGGAACATCAAGCCAAAGATGAATGAGCACCATCCTGCTGGCCAGATCACTTGACCGATCTCACTGTACCTATGTGAGCTCCACCCTCTGCACTGTGGTAGGCTGCAGCACTGGCTCTGTGCTCCTTCCTGCCCTTCACCCACATCCTTGTCACAGTCTCTTCATGGTCTGTGCATGCTTCCCCTCCTCCAGACTGTGGACTTTGTCACGTCCACGTGACTCCCAGCACCACAGGGGAAGAATGACAACAGGTGAGTCCTAAGTCCAGGCCTTCGGAGGACTTGCTACTGTATCTCTGTTCTGCCATGAGACGAACATGCTCGTGCCAGCCTACTGATTGCATCAGGATGAGACACATGCAGCAGACCTAGCCCTAAACCAAACTTCAGCCTGGAGGCAAGACCAGCAAACCTCACAGGAGAGCAACAGAGCCACCCCAGCCCTGCTACACACAGAAAAAATCAATCTCATCGTTGCATCCTGCTGAGAGGTTGTGCTGTTGGCTACATAGCACATTAGTAGGAGAGATTAATGACACATTTCCTTCAGAAAGGTTAGATGAAATGTTCCTGAATGAGAAACTCAATATAGGGGTGTTCTACTTTGGGCTACGGTGATGAGAGGATGCAGAACCCCAGTGAGCCTAAGGGGTGCTGTCCATGGTAGTAACAAGATCCTGTGAGAGACAGAAGTTTGGGGCAGAGGAGTTGGGCTAGGGGGCCAGCTCCCACTCCTGTGAGGAGGTTCCCCTTCTGATCAACATTGCAGAATCTGGTTTTATTTTATTAAATAAAACATGCAAGATACTCCAAGTGCCTGGGGCACATGCGGCTGGTGCCGGCAGAGTTTCCCAGCTGTCTGTCACACTCCACGGGCTCCATCTTCCATAGTGATGCCATCGGAGCTGGGCACATCACTGATTCTGGAGGCTACCATCCTTTTGCAGTTACCTATGACCCTGTGGTTGGCTTTTTACCAGGGAACTATGAGCAGAAGAGGTGAGTGCTACCTTGGGCTGGCATGTTCAGAAAGTGGGCATGCACCTCCACTTTCCCCTTCCTGCCACTGCACCCCAGGCTATGCAGACAGGAACATGCTCCAGGACAGCAAGGACCATGTGTGGCCCATAGAGGAGCCTCACAATGTGTTACCATCCACTTCCACAGTGAGATGAAGAACTTGTGCCCATACATAATCAATGACGTCGCTAAACGCATTATTTAGTTCAACTGATACTTTTTTCCATTGCAAGATGTTTTCAGTGAAGGAAGAGTGTGTTGATTTACATTTTGGCTGGAGCTCCTTATCTCCTGCGGACCAGCCCTTGGTGTCGCAATGCACTAGGGAATGGTAGGTGCACAAGATGGTATGAACCTCGGCTCCTGGATATCCATATGGAGCAGAGCTGCCTGGCCATCTGGAATGCTTGCCCTGGATAAAAAAGAGAAATAAACCTCTTTTTTTGTGTGTGTGTGTCATTGCATCGTGAGACCTCTTTTTAAAAGTAGTTTAGCATTTCCTAATTAAGACAGTGGGTTTAATCAACAGCTGGGAGTGTATGGCAAGGACTTTAAAGGCATGTGAGAGAACAGTCAGTATGACCATCCATTCTTACGAGCTGAATCAAAGGGCTTCATTTTCTTTTCTTCCCTTTATTTTTTTTTTCAGTTCGCTAGAGGGCACATGTACTTGCTAGCGGGAGAAACACACACACACACACACACACACACACACACAGAGAGAGAGAGAGAGAGAGAGAGAGAGGAGAGCAATCCCAAGGGAGAATGGCCACACCACAATCCTTTCTCTTCTATTCTCCTCTTGGGATTTTGGGCATACATGCACATGCACCCAGCGTGTTTTTCAAGCTTGAACTACACAGTTGGCCATGCCATGTGGGATCCAGCCTCCTTAACCACCATGCTGCCTAGCTGACACGGTTGTGTTTTCTAGCTGGAACAATCCATTGCCTTTTTTCTAGTTAGGGGACTGCACTCAGCCCTTTACTTGCAGGACAATGCATTCTTTCCCATCTATAGAGTCCCTTCTCTGTGTCTAGGATTGACACACTTGCTGCCCTTACAGGGTGCCAAAGCCAGGCCCAGCTCTGGTGTGGGGGCAGCAGACCTGTGGAACTTAGAGCAAGAGCTGAGGGGAGTGGAAGGGCGCAGGCACGTCCTGGTCTGTGAGCGACACAGGAAACTGTGTTGCCTGAACGCACAGGTGCCGCGCTTTCTGTAGAATTGATTCTGCACTTGCATGCCTTTACAATGCTTTCCCCTTAGTTCTTGGTTGAGAGAGGGACTTTATTTGAAAGATTCTAAAATAATCGTGATTGATCTAAGAGGAAAGGGCATTTCCTTCAACTTCACCTGAAGGGATGAGGGCTCAGTGCTGCTCTAAAGGCCTGAGTCATGCAGACGTGAGCATTTCTTAGAGTAGTGGTTCAGCCATCGATGTGCCAGCACGCCCGGATGTGGGACTCTGCAGGCATACGGAGGAGCTACACTGGTCCCTGTGTCCCCACCGACTCACTGAGTGGGAGCCGCGAGCATGGGTACCCAGTTACCTGTCGGTGGGCCCCTTGCTTACCCATGAGCCTGGGGATGAAAGGCAGAGGCTGCAAACCCCATAGGGATGGAGTCCAGGCCAGTTACGGACTGTGTCCTTTAGATTCCCACTTGGATCATGCCCCTAGGATTGACAATCTGTGTTTTTTTTTTTCTTGGCTACTAATAATGACCTTAAAATTAGCATTTTTCAAAGCCAAACAGGGAAGACCCTTCAAGCCCAAGAATACTGTCATATACTGTCATGCAACGTGTGTGCACTCATTAGAGAATGGTGTGAACGTCACCAGGTATTCCGAGTAAAATGTGCGTGTTCAGTGTCATCAGTGTCAATGTTAGGCTGACACAGAGCACTAAGGACCGGCCAGGGAGGCAGTTCACCAGCCCTTGGTGAGGAATAGACCTCACCTATTCCGAACGCGACCACAGGACCAGCTCTGGCAGCCCAGAACGTGGGCCACAGCATCCTACCAGCTTCTATTTATTGTCGCATTGCTATGGTGCCATCCCCTTTGTATCCAAGGCATTCAGAGTCTCAGGGACTGGGCTGTGACCCTTCTTCAGGTCTGGTCGGAGAACAGAAGGAGCACAGCCAAGTTGGGCCACCCTAGGGAGGTGCGTAACAGCAGTTTCGGGGTAGAAAGAGTAGGGGAGGAGGGAGAGGGAGACTGGAGGAGAGATCTGCTGGGGGGAGGCTCGGAGGTAGTACATGGAGAGGACAGGTCTGGAGCCAAAAGCCCGGGACAACCACAGCCCAGCCTCCAGCGTCCATCCTTCGCGCTCACCCCTTCCCAACCCGAGGGTGGAGGGTGGCTTGCTCTGCGCGGACCAGGAAGGCGTCGGGAGAAGCTGGAGACGGAGGAGCTCACTGAAGTGTGTTGGAGCGGAGACGTCGAGGCTGGGAGGAAGTAATCCGACTTGGGGAAGGCGGGCGGGACTACCAGGGCCTGGAAGAGGGGGTCGTGTATACCCACCCTTTTCAGCACCCAGCGGAGATGGCCGATTTCCGAGCCGGGCGTCCCAGCGCCCCAGCTTGCCATAGGGAGACGTCAGAG